GAGGACTGTGGGAGAGGGAGAATCACTGAGAATAAGATGAGCTAATTTTTCACAGGTCTGTTGTTCTTCATCTGTTTATTATAGCCAATGATAACAGTGAGGTTGTGCTGAGCAGCTTGCAGAAACAACAGAAAGGTGGTTTCCTTTCTCTCTACCCCATTCCTGGAGCAGATGCAGCTGGTCAAGTGAAGTAGCTTTGCTGAAGCTGCGCTGCTGTGGATGGCATGGAAAACAAAGCATTTTTAACCAGGGTGCAGGCCCCCTTGTGAGATCCCTTAAATTCCCTTTTTTGAGATGGGGCAGCCTCGAAGGGTTGGGAGTACATCTCCATCTCCTTTGGGGAGACAACAACAGTGAGAATTAGAGGTTCCTTTGTGTAGTCTTATTGAGCAACCTCTTGGGGCCTTAATCCCAGGAAAGCATGGGCTGGTCTATAATCGCTTTCCAGTCTTGGGAGCACATGGGTGGTTTTTTTTTAAAGAATGTGGTAGACATCAAGTAGGTAACCCCAAGGAAAAAGAATATATTAGACTAATTAGATGCTAGCCAGCAAGCATAAAGTGAGGAAATGCTCTGAGTATCTGGACTACCCTTGTGAGTCAGAGTTCTTGCTGTGTTCTCATACAGTGAACATTTTGAGGAGACACTTTCCTTTCACAGGGGTAGGGGAACACTGCTAATTTTCAGGCAAGAACGGATAGTTGGAAAACAGTAATAAACCTGAGGACTATAGTCAGTACCAGTGAGTTGATGCTGTGTTAGTAATTAAGTGAATGATCTGAAATGTTCCAGAATGCTAAACTGTTCTCTGAATATGCTCACAAAAGGCTGTCTTGGGTTAGAGGAAGAAACTTTTCTTTGGATTCTTTTCCAGAAAGGAAAAAATTTGCTGTTATCTTTTCAGTTATGGAGCCTTGCAGAATTACTGTTGAGTATTTATTTGGATAAGAACTGATAAGTATTTCATCCTGTGCCCTTCAAATCAGACTCTGTCCCTTTTGGCTTGCCCCTTAGCAAGCTAATCACCATTCCTCTTTTTATTGTAATTGGTGTGTTTGATGTTAGAGCACTCTGCTTCTGTGAGACTTCATTTGTTGTTGCTGGTATGCTATGCCCTTCTGTAACAGTCTTGCTCCACTGTTACCAGTTTAAAGGACCGTCTTAAATTAATGTGGTGAGGCTCAGTTCTTATGATCATCTCTTAGCTTTATTAATCCCTTCTTATTATGAGTTCCAGGGGCAGCTAAGGGATTAGACTAGAGCAGCGCTCTGCTGCATCATGCCCAACACATAAAGCCAGCACTGCTTACCCTGTTTGCAGTCGTAATAGGTAAAACCAAAACTGAGAAGGAAAACAGACACACTGTCATTAAGGGACTTGACCAAGGTCACAGAGCAGAGCTGTTTGCTGAGTGCCCTGATTCCCTAGTGACCGCTGTCCTAGTCAAACATGGAAGCTGTGGAGCTGCCTGCTTGAGAATGTTGACGGTGACTAGGCATACATGAACACTTCTCTGATTATCCTCTGGATATATAATATTAACTTTCTCGAGTTACACAGGGAAGATGATGTATGATGCCCACAGGTTTAAAGGTGTATCTGTATATCTGAGAAGGAGAGAGTGGAACAGTCATGACTACACTGAGAAATGAGATGCGAAGAACTTGCCAGAGAGGTGCCAGGGTATGTTGGTTTTGCTGACAAATCGTCTAAACCACCTGGATGATAAGATTTGCTTGCCTTGCTCAAGATCCCAAAACAGTTCTCTGATTTAATACAGGTATTCTGGTTTTGCGGAAGATGGGAAGGAAGCCTGTTGGCCTGGAGGTGAGGGGGAAGCCCTGCTGCGTTTGTGGGAGGGGAAAAAACTCATCAAGACAACGTTACTTTTTCCTACACCTCTGGTGGGAAGGTAGGGCTCCTGCGATTGCTGTATCAAGTAGGGAATAGTAGTCCATAACAGAGTTATTCCATGGTCATGTCCTCCCGTTTCCACTGAAACTAAACCGCAGAGACAAGAGATCCTTTCCCTTCCCTTTGATGGCTTTTCTCAGTTGTGACTTACATTTTTCAAGTCAGCTTTTAAAGGCCAACGACACTAGGAGGAGCTCTTTCTCCGTTTCATCCCTCCCTGCTCAGTTAGCTATTCACTAAAGCTCCGGGTTGCTTTTGTATAGGCTGCTTACTCCCTCTCTCCAGCTTCTTAAATCCTCTGGACTTCTTTGGGCATGTAAGCTCCCTCCAGGCTATGAATGAAACACTAATTCCACTGACCCTTTTTGGTACTACGTTGTTGGGCATTTCATGACAGTCGGCTTCTTGCTGCGTTTCTCTTGTTCACTAGTTTGGAAAAGTGGCTTAAGAGTTCTATATTTTGCAGCTTCGCTGTAGCATTTCTTTCTTGGCACAAGCAAAACCCCAGCCATGCAGTTTCCAATGTGCAGGCCTTCAGTAAATGTCTTGGCTAACATCGGTCTGTTTTTTTCTTCAGTTAGGTTAATTTCTAGAACTGTAAAGATTATGCAGACAACACATATATGATACTAATTTCAGTTACTTTCTAGTATAAGCTAGACTGAATTGGAAAACTCACTCTACAGGCATTAGTAAGGCCCTGTCAGTCATGTTTGATGACCGATTCTCCGTGTTACATTCACATTACAGGGCGACAGCTTCTTCAAGTCAGAAGGCATTTCTCCCAGAGCTGGCAGCAGACCCGATGTCTGTAAGCCCTCCGTTTGAAGCCAAGAATCGGCGCTCCAATATTCTTTACTAACAAATGAATCTTCATGCTGAAGACTTTCAAGTTTTGTAGATGCTTTATGTGCAGAGGATGGTGGGATTTTCTAGGGTAAAGCATGGAAGCCCTGTGAAAGGCAACCCCCGAGAATGCCCGCATCGAAGTTTCCATGCCTGGAGCACACTTATTTGCTCCACCTCAGTAGCCTGGCCCGGCGGCTCCCACCTCCGGGGAGGCGCTCACGTTCACCCCCCCGGCCCCGCCTTCCCCAAAGCTGCTTCTCTTCTGAGGGAGC